CGATAGAATTCGTGTGTGTAATATCGATACGTCTGTAACACTCGATTGTTCACGGTTTACGCCCCGACGTCCATGCCATACATCACGGTACTTCCGTCTTTGGTATGATCGGTCGATATTCGATGACGATGAGACAGATTTATATATGTTAGTAATAACACACTGTTATGAAAGCAACACACAATTTTTTATTATTATCTTCATCATACTCGACAGCAGATTGAAGATTGAACGGCTTTAGGGCGATTTTTAAAGACGCATTTAATTATACGCAAAATACATAAATCTCCAAAAATATTTTATATGAACGGGAGAAAAATGTAATTATTATCAAGTGACACAATCATGAAAATGTCACTTGATAATTTACCAAAAGTGTGCAATATTCTGTGGTGATGTAATAAGCTGAATTTACCGAAAAAATGTTAGATACAAATTACGTTTGCTTGATAGCATTCCATGCCTTTCGAATAAGCGTTTCGCCTTCGGATGCTCAAGGCCGACTAAATATCGAATATTCTTCGCTAGGAAACAGATTGAATTAATTATTGAAAGGTATTCTTCAGGAAAGCTCATCTTGTCCCTCGTCATCAATAATATGCACGAAACGAAGTTCGTTTGTCGCCGACAGACTCGTCGCGTCAAGAGGAAAGATCCCTGTTAGTTGTGATTTAGAATTGCATCTCTTATTATCCCGTTACGCGCGTATTTCCAATATCTGATCCCGGAAGAAGGAGAAGAGAACCTTTCATTTTTTCCATAACACAATAAGAAGAATTTATTCCCTCCTCTGAAGTATTATGATTGACCGCATTTTCCGTGCGGAGGGAAGCGCAGCGCGCGTAACACTCACTTTTCTAACGACTGAATGCAAATGCTATGCTGTCAAAATATATCCCTCCGTCATGGCGCGACGTGACACGCGCGATTACTACAATACGGAATTCGAGTAGAATAATATCGATATGCGTAATCACACTCGACATACACGTACGCTTTGTCGTCCATGTGAATAATTAACTCGATCTGTTTGCCAGCGAGGAATACTCGAGATTTAGTTAGCCGCGAGCAGCTGAAGGCGGAGCGCTTATTCGAAAGGCATGGAGTTCTCTTGGGATCGTTATCACAACGTCACAAAGAGACTTTCATCAGTGATTGGTGTGTGGCCTTATCAGAATAAAAAAGAAAAGGTGTTCAGGTTGAGCGTAACGATATTAGCTGCAATTGCTATGATCATTCCACAGGTTAGAGTCTTTGACAAATTTGCACATCTTTTACTCTCGTTTTTTTACATACGATTCAGTGGATACCAATAAAACATGCGTGTCTATAGGACGCATGAGAAACGTCGTTTAGACATCTTATTGTCTTAAAGACGTCCTAAAGACGTCTTTAAAACGCTTAATATACTCTTAGGACATCTTAGTGTTCTCCGATAATTCACGTGATCATAGATGCAGAGAGCAACGATTGAAAGAAGTTGTATTATTATTACAGATATCAATGTTATACTTAGCTTGTTTTGATTTCGATAAATTTGCAGTCTATAAATATGTCATAAATATATTGCCCTCCAAGTTCGCCGCTTGGTTTGGTTAGATCTCATTTAATTAATTGCATTGAACACGGAAGAGGTTTGACTATTAGTTCTAACAAGAAGCTGTAATACTAGAAAGAGCGACGATATTTCCAGACGTGCAAGTTTTATCATTGCGACAAAGACTTAGAATGCATTTTCGGGACTATACCGTCGTATATATTAGTAATTGGGATTATGTTGAAACTGCACACATGCAGCTGGAAGGCTAACAAGGTACATTAATACGTTTAGATTCGCATCGACCGAAACGAATTTTCACAATTAATGAGCTTTACGTCAGGTCGACCAACAGAATTTAATGTTTGCTGATAATATTATATATCTAGATTAAGACTCTCACCGATCACATGTTCAGCGATTGGGAAAGACTGCAGGACCCGCAAGAATACGAAATCATGGAGACATACGTCGCGAGCGCAAGACGGATCATCGTTATATATATTTGTAAGAACGCTAAAGAGAACATAGAGAGAATGAGAGAGAAGGAAGATTAACTTTCGTTTCTCTTTGTTTTTACAAGCGGCAATAAAATCTGCGTTTGTTACAGGGCTTTGTCTGCCAAGTATGACCATATTTGTGTTAGTGTCACTCATACCGCGCATACTGGACATCGTGTTACCTCTCAACGAATCGCGTCCCATAGTGCTGCCCTTCGAAGCGTATTATTTCGTCGATGAGAGAGAATATTTCTTCTACATTTTCTTCCAAGGAGCCATAATTGCGGATATAGCTATAATGGGTCTTATTGTTCACGATGCCATGTTCATGACCTTTGTCGAACATGTGTGCGGCGTCTTCGCCGTGGCCGGGTAAGGAGAACATATGTATTGAAAGAAAACCCCATCAAATTATAATAATTTTTGGCCTTAACTATTTTTTTTATTTTAATCCAAAAAATAATAGTAGCAATATGCATGCAGAATTATTATTAATATAATAATACTTATTGAAAAAATGGATTTCCTGTCTGTAATTTTATGTACACAATCGTCGTTACAAAAAAATTTTTTTCTCAATGTTATATATACGTTACATCATATATACGAGGGCGGTTCAATAATTACCCGTGTTAGAAATAAAGACACCATTTTTCCAAAAAAATTTTTTTTTTTTTTCGACATAGTCCCCTTTTAGAAAGATACACTTCTCCCAACGTTCCTGCCATTTTTTTAACCCCTCCAAAAAATAGGATTTGTCGGACTCTCCAAANCTCTGTCTCGGCGATGACTTCCTCGTTTGAGCTAAATTTTTTTTCCGCTAGCCATTTCTTCATGTTAGGGAACAAGAAAAAGTCGCAGGGAGCCAGATCGGGTGAATGCGGGGGGTGCGGCAGCAATTCATAACGCAATTCATGCAGTTTGGCGACGACAACTCCGGATGAATGTGCTTTCCACCGTGAGCAATCGCAGCACCCATCGGGCCGACAATTTTTTCATCGTCAACTTATCATGTAAAAT